GAACCCAACCAGCGGGGCGGGCCCGGGGGCCTTCTCCGGTCCGAGCCCGAGGCGGAACTGGCTGGGGCGGGACCTCGAGGCGGAACTGAGACGGCCGGGGGGCGAGAGAAAGGGGGGGCTCGGGCGGGGCGAGGTCTCCAGGTGGGCGGAGGGGCCAAGCTGCGCGATCGCGGGCTGGAACCCAGACCGCTCGGCGGGAGCCGGACGGGCCGCAGACTCGCGTGGGCTGACCGCCCGCCAGCGAACCCCTGGGTGAGGGGTTAATCCCTCAACACGGGGAAAACCCTGCGCCCCCCGTGTCGTCGCATGGGGCGGCAGATGGAGAGCGGGGAGGTCTCATGGACACGCCTTCCTCTTCTCTTGCCAGACATTTGTTGCAGCGGGCTTCTTCGATTGTATTCTGCGGGTGCTGGGCAACAGCGGGAGGGCTTTGAGCAGGAAGAGCTGAACCCGGATCACCAAAGGCAGGTGGGAGGCCGCTCCCGTCCTACTCCCAGAGCCCACCCAGAGGATGATACTTGATGTCTTAATTTAGGCCAGCTTCTTCAATGTTTGTCTTAAAAGTACAACTTCATGCTTCTCTCCCCCTCTCACGATGGTTTTGTTTGCTCCCCTTGCACCAACATGGGAGTGGATGGTGCAAGGACGGAGCCCGGGGACACCAGCCTCCCTTGCCACTTCTGAACATGACCGGCTGTCATGGGGTATGCCTGGTGCTGCTGGTGGGATGTCCTCAAAATCATGTGGCCGCATGGTTTTGGAAATGCAAATACATCCTTGCTAACTCGCTATTTGCTCACCTTGGAATATGAGGGAAGCACTTCCCCGTGCAGCTAGTTAAAGAAGCCCTGTTTTGGAAATGCAAATACATCCTTGCTAACTCGCTAGTGGCTCACCACCGGTGCAGCTAGTTAAAGAAGCCCTGCCCCTCCAACCAAAGCCTGGCTTCCTAGGGTCCGCTTACCATTTTCAGTGTTTCTCAAACCGGGAGTTTGGGAGAAATAGTTCCCCTTAAAGTGGGCGTGTGTATTATTCAATCTAAGCAATTCTGGCAGAACAGATACAGATCTCGAGGAATGTTTGTTCCTTTGCACTGGGCTGCTCTGAGCGCAGAATCTTCTCAGTTTTCTGAGCTGAACTGGAATCAGAAGAAAGTCACAGCTATTCAGGCGTCAGGGTTCCTGGTTTTAAATTCTGTTTCCTTTCTGCTCTTGTTCATCATCCTCAGACCCTTAGGACCCAGAGAGGACAGACAGGCAGCAGTGCTCATTACCCGATTTATTAGAGGTCTCTTCATTAGAGGTCTCCTCAACGTAAAAAGAGGGTGGGGGTGGGGGGGGCAAGGGCCCGGGGCTGCATACAAGTGTTTTGGGGGCCAGCAGTGGCTGCAGGTTACAGAGGCGCCACGGCTCTGGGTCTGCGCAGGACAGCGTCCTGTGCCCGAGTAGGCTGTGCTCCCGATTGTCACACACCAGACCACGGGCCGAGCACATGGAGCCCCCCGTGAGAATTAAGACACACAAGGTTTGCAGTTTTGTTGTGTTTCAAAGTCAGTTCGGCCATAAAAAAACGAGGAGGGTGGGGCAGGCAATGCAACTGGGCCACCAGAGGAAAGGCTGCAGCGAGGGAGCTTGGCCAGGGGCGCCCAAGGGGCTGCAGAGACAGTACCGTGGCGAGGGCCCCACCGGTAGGGGAGTATTGCACTGAGCCAGGTGCTAGAGGGAGGAGGCAGAGGACACACGAGGGCTCCACCTTGTCAGTCTGAGGAAACGCCTGTCACGTTTACAGTACAGCAATTCAGACATCCACGCCACAGCAGCCAGGACTGGAAGGCTATTTACAGATGTACAGGTTTCTACCCCAGGGGCAACAGCAGGGTGGGCCAAGCCTTCCTCGCCTGGAAGCTCACTGCCTGCACTCCCACCCTCAAAGGAATCAGCGGAGGCCTTGCACCGGCACAGACCGAGGCCCAAGGGGCACTTTAGCATCTGTTGCGTTTTCTGAAGAGGGACAAACATGGCCAACACAAAGATAAGTCTTCAAGAGGTCTTCATGACTTAACACAAAAATAGACACATCATGGTATCGGGGGACTTGCAATTTCTCTAAATCAGCATCCAACTGACACTTCCATGATCCAGGAAAGCCCAAGGGGCCTGGGGATGCCGCACGGGTGGTCCCGTCTTCCCAAGCTCTGGGTACACACGAGCCACCTCTCCGGGGCTGTGCCTGCTGCGCCGGCCACCGCCACAGGGTGCACCGCGTCTCTGATGCCCAGGCGGGCACCCCAGCACAGGCGTTTATGTGACACGGCCTCCCTGTCAGGCCTTGGGGTTCAGACACGCCGTTAGGTCTCTGTCTCTTCAGTCTGCTTCCCCACTGGCAGGATGGCGCAGGGACAGAATGACCACTTGGGTACCCAGCCAGGGCACCTGCAGACGTCCGTGTGAAGTCCAGCAGGATGCTTGCCAGGTCTGGGCAAGTGAGCCCGGCAGGAGAGAGTCATTTTCCTTCCACTCAGCATTCTGCAGGTGTGCTGGGCGGCTCCTCTGAAGGGTGGCCCCCGAGGCCCCTTCCCCTGTTGCTTTCTGGAGTGTCCCCAGCAGCCCGGCTCAAGAGCCGAGGCACTGTCCGTGCTGACGGAAAGGGAGGGCAAGTTCTCCAGCGAGGGAAGACGGCAGCCAGGCCAACGGTGCCTCTGTGCTGTGCGGCGGTGACAGGGAGTATGGGCAGCTGAGACGGGCTCACGAAGTCAAACTCCTGGACCGACGGGTTCTCCAGCTATCTCAGGCTCCTCCGAGAAGCCAGGGCCAGGAGAAATCTCCCCAAAGGTATGGCTTCCGTTCTGCTCCATGCCAGCAACCAGCACCTCACATGCGCACCGGGGTGGGTCCTCAGAGGGGCAGGAAATCGTCACAGGCGGGTCACCTCTTGGGAAGTGGGAGTGTGTGTGGTCTCTGGACACTGGGGTCCCTGGAGTCACCCTGCGGGGTTCAGGGCTCAGCGTGCGCCTAGGGGTGGCTGCCCCTGCTGAAGACAACAGACCAAACAAAGTTTCCTCTGTGAACTCCACCTCCAAGTCTTCCATAGCACAGGTGTGACCGACATAACAAAGAAGACAAGGACCCCCCCGTCCTAGCGTGGAGACAGCCCACTACAGAGGGGGCTGTTTCTCTGACGGGGACATGGCGTGTGGCCTGACCGCGATCCCCTTCCCTCGGACCCAAGTTCTTCTGTCAGCGCGGGTGTCCGGCAGGAGTTCTGGGGAAGGCCCTGCTCCGAGGGCGCCGCCCCATCACTTGGCCTCTGGGTGATAAGTCGTCCATGCTGGGAGGAGAGAGAGAAACCTGGAGCCCTGAGTTCCACTGAGAGGGGTTGCCGGGAGAGTCCCCAAGGATGATGTCCAGTGTCCAGCCTGCAAACCCGAGCCCACAGCACCCACAGGCCTGAGCGATGGTCTCCAAAGGGCCCTGGGGAGCAGCGGCAACCCTCGGACCTGCCCTCCCAGGCTCGCTGTCCGAGGCAGAGAGAGGAGGAGTCGGGGCCCACGCCGGCCCCTCACAGGACACCCCGTTGACACATGGAGCGCGGGTTTCAGCGGAGACGATGGGGCAGTTTGGGCACAGGCCCCCAAAACTGATGGGGGGCCTTGCTCCCCGGCAGCTCACATGCAAGCACAGCAAAGAACCAAAAAGTGCAGTGGAATGGAGTCTCTTCTTTTCCATTATGTTCCCTTTTTTTTTTTCCTTTTTCTCTTTTTCTAAAAACGCACGCGTGCTACCATCCCTGTGCAAAGAGCAGGGACCCAAAATAAATATGTGACCGGGAGGCGGGAGGCTCACAGTATCTCAGGCATAGGTAGTTGACAGGGAGCTGGCGCTGGGCCCCGACGGCTCTGGGGCCTGAGCATCAGTGTCCGTCACAGAGGGGAAGGACGTGGGCGGCAAGGTCCACAGGTGGCAGGGTGGGTGTCTCTGAGCTCTGCCCAGGTGGGGGCAATGCCCCCAGGAAGCAGCCAGGGCAGCAGCAGGCCCTGGGCGCCAACTTGGTGAGACTGCATAGGAATTACTGCAGAAGGCAAGACAGAGGGTGAAGGGAAAGACCCTACCCGCGGCCTCCCACAGCTGGGCCACCTCAGGCCAGACACCCCATGTGTGGTGAGGCCTGGACACCAGCCCGGAGACACTCACCCCGCCGGCCGCCACCTGGCCGGAACCCCGCCCGACCCAGGCCTCAGTTTCCCCATCTGTCCCTGGATGTCGGGACCTCACTCTGGGCTCTCCGGGGACCCCCCAGGGAGAGGCCCTGGGGTCTGGGTCCGAACGGGCTGGGCTGGCGCACTTACTGTGTCGCTCTCGCCGTCGGAGGCCGGGTGGGCCTGCACGCTATAGTGGAGCGGGGAGTACACCCAGCTCCTCTCATCGGTGGGCTGGAGGGCGGGCGGGCGGCACGTGCAGGAAGGGCGCAGAAGAGCAGGGTGCAGAGGCGTGACAGAGAGGCAGAGGGAGAAGGAAGAAACAGAAATAAAAGAGGCAGACCCCCACGCGGGAGAGTGGCCGACTCAGCCAGCTGCTCTCTCCCTGCCCGGGGACCTGCCCCCAACCCGGGCAGTCCTGGGGGGGGAGGAGGTGGGGGCTCCGGGAGCCTGGCCCCAGCCAACGGCCAGTGGGCAGGGCAGGGCAGGCGGCAGGAAGCAGTTGGTGGAGGCAGGGCTGGCACAGCACAAGATGGGTGGCGGCCTGGCGGCTCTGCGATCCTGCTGCCCCTCCCTTCCTCTCTCACCCCAGGGCTCCCCCCACCCTCCCCCAAAACCCCAACCTCTGTCCTAACCTGGCAGAACCCTAACCAGCTCAGGTCCTGCCTGTTATCAGACACCAGGCGGCCAGTTGGAGCAGGACTCTGGGGGCCTCCACTGGGGGCCCTGGGTAGATGCGGTGCTGGGGATGGAGCCAGTGTTCCCATCACCCGCAGTCTCTCAGGCTGGAGCGTGGCTCTCCTCGGGGACCGGATGGAGGCAGCCACAGGGGAGACCAGCCAGCCCCCCCAGGCGCAGAGGGGCAGCTCCCTGGGATGCAGACATGGCAGGGCTCAAATTCGGGCCTGGGGACCGACCGCGTTGGGGGGCGGTGGCAGCCTCTGAAGGCTGCCCTGGTCCTGGCCAAGGGTGGGCTGGTGGGGGGCACGGCCACAGTGCTGACACCCTCTGCAGGGGCCGCCTCTGCCTCAAGGACCGCCAGGCCCTGTCCCGGGGTGTCCCCAGGGCCCCAGTGCTGCCCGTGCCACTGCCTCCACCTCTCTCCGGGGGCTGCCCCTGCCCTTCAACATCCTAAGGACTGGGCAACCTAACCGTATCCGCACGGGCACCTCACGGCCCCTAAACTCACCACCTCCAGCCCAAGGCACCCCGGATCCAGCCTGCTCCTTCCACTTCTCTGCTGAGGCCGAGGCCCTGGCCCGAGGCCCGTTCTGCCTCCCTTCCAGACACTCATCTGCTGCTCTCTTACCTCAGGGCTACACATCTCGCTCGGACCAATGCCCAGAAAGCCCCTCACCTCTGTGCCTGCTCAATCCTACTCTTTTTCTGCAGCTCAGGGCAAAACCCACCCTCCCGTGAGCCACCTGGACCCCTGGCCACCACAGGCAGCTCACTCACCCCCAAGGGGCTGGCCCCCGAGGCTGGGCTTGGCGAAACCCACTGCAGGGCAGCAGCACGGGCCCTGGCACCTTTGACATCACAACCGCAACCAGAGCCCTGCCCCAGGCAGCTCAGTCTCCCCAGCCCCTGTGGCCCCAGCAGGGCCCGGCCTGTCTGGGGGCCGAAGTGCCAGAACTCAGCGGCCCAGATAATGGGACTGTTCTCACCGCGCCGGGCCAGGAGCCAGTCTGGGGAAGGGAGAAGTGGCGCCAGCGGGCAGGCCGGCGGGACAGCGGTGCTCCCACCCTCGGAGGCTCCGGGTGGGCCTGACACACCCTTCCCTCTGCCTCTCGCTACCTGGATGCTTCTCAGAGTCAGACCAACACCTCTCGGGGCGGCCCTGCAGCCGGCTCTGGCCCCCAGTGGCCCCCAGCCCCCAGATCCTCTCTGGGGAGAAGCGTCTGTCCTTGGAGGACACAGCGTGACAGGAGCAGCTGGGGTGTGGTCTCTGCCCTGGGGTCACGCGCAGTTCCGAGCACCGGATGCTGTTCCCAGGGGTGTGCCGGCCGCTCTGGAGCGTCATTCTTGAGAACAGAAACCCTTACTCCAGACGCCCAACGCCCCGCTGTTCCACCCCCCGGCCCCCAGGTGCTATGCACCTCTGGGCAGGTGGCTTGGCCTCCCGGGGCCGCGTGTTTATCGTCACGGTGACAGTAACAGGCTGACAAGGCCAGTGCGGCAACGCCCATGTCACGGCCAGGCGATGGACACACAGGCTGCCTCGGAGTTTGAACTCGGACTTTGTCTGACAGAAACCGTAAGTGCTCTTGGGGGCCCCCGGGCAGCTGAGGTCTGTCTCCCCGCCAGTGAGAGGGGTGTGGACAGCCCATTCCCTGCAGTTCGGACCCGCTGGCTGAGGCGCCCTGGGGAGCCCCCAGCTGCGAGTCTGAACACGGAGCGGCAGCTGTCTGCCCTAGTCTGGCCTCAGGAGGCTGGGCCGGGGCTGGGTGGCGCGGGCTGGGGGTCAGATGCGGGCCTGCTGCAGAGGAGACGCAGTAAAGTCACCTCGGTAGGCACAGGGCCAGTGCCAGCCTGGGGTAGTGTCTTCCCCAAGTCCCTCTCAGAGGAGGGGGGTGGCCAGGCCCTGTGGCTCCCTGCTGCGCAGGGCAGCCGCGTGCTCTGGGCTCCCTGGGGGCCTGCTGCAGTCACTTACAGTCCCCGAGGAGCTCAGCGTGGCGGCCCGCAGCCGGCGATGCCGGGGCGAGTAAATCCAGTACCTCCCATCCGAGAACTGGCGGGCCGGGCGGGGGGAGGAAGCAAACAGAGGACAGGATGAGGCGACAGGAATCCGGGGCGCAGGCAGGAGGCGCTGGGTGGGGCAGGCGAGCAGGTGGCCAAGCGGGGCGGTGGGGGGTATGGCAGGGTCCCCGTGGCCTACTAGCTTCTCTGCTGCCCGCGGGCAGCCGCCCACTCAGGTGCTGGGACAGACGCACACAACAGGACTCAGACCACCGGGCGGCTGCCTCACACCGGTTCAGAGAATGGGACACAACCTGGGGAAGCCGCAGGTGGGTGTACACGGGCGCCATCCTCCGGCTCCGGGCAGGGGCCGGAGACCGGTGCGCCAACTCAGGCGGAGAGCAGGGAGTGTTAGTCAAAGCGAGAGGGGAGCAGGACGGCCACGCTCACCCCGTGTCTGGGCCGCAGGCAAGGGGCTGGCCCAGTTCACCTTCCCCAGGAGCCACAGGGAGTGGAGGGCCAGGCAAGGACAGCCGAGTTCTCCACCGCAACAGGGGCCGTCTGACCCCTGAGGAGGGTGGCCAGGGGAGGCAGCCCCAGACCGTGCTGGGGCCCAGAGCTGGACTGGGCAGGTTCGCTGGCCACCCGGCTCGTCTAGCTGCCGCCTGCCAGAGCTGTGGGGGAGACGCGGCACCTCGCTTTGGAAGAGGCGTCTCGGGCAGGGTCCTTCAAGCGCCATCCGAGAGCAGCACGGCACCCCCAGCCCTTCACCACAGCCCCTCGCCTCCTTGAGGAAGGGGCCCACCCGCTGCGCGCAGCACCCGTGGTCTGGCAGGCCTCAGCGCCCGGGCACCCCCGACATTACCTAGGGTGACAGGAGGGCTTGGCTGGGCCCAGACAGCGAGCGCCCGGCCTTGGGAGGAGGGACGGGGCCATCCTGGGCCTCAGAACGGCCAGGCTGGGATGGCTCCGAAGGCTCCACACCCTGTGAATGTGTGGAGAGAGGTGTGGCGACCGTGGCGTGTGGGAGAGGATGCGGCGCCTGCGGGCGCGTGTGTCCACGGGAGTGCACGCGGCACGGGCACTGCTGTGTGAAAGCGCGTGCGCAGGCGCGTGCTGACGGGCGTCGCCGTCTAGGGCCCGGGAACCGCCAGAGCCGTGGGGTGACTTACAAAGTAGATGTCGGTGGCGGGCGCGTCCTCTTCATCCGAGGCCTGGCTGGCGGGCTCCGAGGCCTGGCTGGCGGTTTCCGCTTCGGAGGCCGCGGCGGGGGCAGGGGCGCAGCCCGGGGAAGCCTCCACCCTGGGGACGCAGGGGACGCAGGTGTCCTGGGTAGGGCTCTGGCAGCACCCGCCTGCGCCCCTCCACGTGAACCCCTGCCTGTCCCTCCTGCCTCGGAGCCACTGTGTCCCGTGTGACATCCAGGAGACAGCACCGGGTGTGGCGCCTGGCACTGGAAACGTCCCAGAGATGCAGGGCGAGCTGACGGCGCGGCGCGAGGTTGACTGGGCCGAGGCTGGCTGATGCCCACATGTAACGGCCCTCCCAGCGCCATGCAGGGCGGGGAGTGACCGTGCCCGACAGCGGCCAGCCTGGACGAGGTCCTGCCGCTCTCTGAGCCTGTCTCCTCACCTGGAGAGGGGGCACACCAGGCACCTGCCCCGCGGGGGAGAGCCCAGCTGCTCCCAGCAGCACTTGCCAGACACCTAGCCTGGTCCGGAGCCCTCCGCGGAGCCTCCTGCCGCCGCCGTCCCTTGTTACGGGAGAGAAACAGGCTCACGGCCCTCCCTGGTGGCGCAGCGGGCTGAAGTGCAGCACGATGAGGCTAACTGCAGCTGCTTCCGCACGAGTCCGATCCCCACCAGGGGGTGACCCACAGGGCGCAGCAGACCCCTCCTGACCTGCCCACTGCTCCCCTCAGCAGTGGGTTTCAGTCAATCTACCTGTTCTGCTCCCCACTCCATCGCTGGTGAATTCTTTCACCCCCTCCACCCCACACCTCCAGACCATACTCCAGTTCTTGTGGGCATAAATTAAGTAAATCTTAAAAAAAAAACAAAAACAAAAACAAAAAAAAACCAAACAAGAAACAAAATGAGGTGCACAGGAAGTGAGGCATGAGGCTCTGGGACCCTCCTCCTTGCTAAGGCGACCAGCTCCCGGGGCCAGCGCCCATGTGGGCACTCGTAGCCGGGCAGGTCTAGGAGCGATGCTTTTGGGCAAAGAAAGGAGGGGGTTCCGTGCTGGAGGCTCCCGCTGCTGGCAAGTGGGCGGCTGGAGCGCGTGCGTGGCAGGGTGGCGGGTCTGGCGGCCAGGCGCGGCTGGGAGTGGCCCGCAGGGGCTGAGTGGGGGCTCGAGGCGGGAGGGAGGGGAACAGCACAGAAAGCGAAAGTGACGGGAAAGGTGACAACTACCAGCGAAACTGACTGGAGGGGAAATGAGACTGAAGAATGATCACCGGTGTGGGAGGCCGGCCAGCTGCAACCACCCCCGCCCCTCCCGAGAGCAGTTTCCCCAGGGAGCCACCGACATCTCAAACAACCGACTCTGCGCTCGGCAAGAAAACCTCAAACTGCTGGAAACGATCACTACAAGGGTAAACAAAACCCAAAAACTTGGAAGTAAGAGACTCCTAACAAGCCCTGAGCCCAGGTCTCTCTCCCTGGACTGCTGACACGGGCCGGCGGGCCTCCGCGGGCGCGCAGACCGGCACTTGGTGGGGTGCTCACTGACACCCTGGCCCCACGACGTCAGCAGCACCTCTGATCGTGACCACAGAGGCTCCCCACTGTCTCCCCAAATCCCATGCAGGACAAGACCACCCCTAAGTGACCTAAAGTCACAGCTTGATTGCTGTGACATTTAAAGAATTTTAAAGGAAAACCAGAAAGACAAAACTAAAAGGAAGCCAGCCAGTGCAAGCAGCCAGCGTGAGACCCGCGGCGTCCGAGCGCTTCGCAGCGGGGGCAGGCGCTGGGCGACGCTGGACAGAGCCGGACGGGAAAGCGACCCGAAGCCAGAAGGAAACCACTGACCCGTGCACACCAACCACAGCGGAAGGCAGTGAGGGGCCAGTCAGTGGTGACCACAGTGCAGCTGGCCCAGACCTGGCCTGGGCTGAAGGAGGAACAGGGAGGCGGGAGAAAGATGCGGCCACAGAGGAGGCGCCCAGGAGCCCGAGACCAACGTGCGCCTGCAGTCTGGGAGCAAACCGGGGGCCAGAGGCGGGGCCGGGCGCTGCCCTGGCCACTCCGGAGCCTCCGCTGTGCGGGGACCACGGCTACCTCCAGCGCCTCGCCTCGCCCCCCGACCCCTGCTCTGAGCTCCCTGGGTGCAGACTGTACTTCCCAGCCTGCCTGGCTGTCGGCCAGCCTCAGGGTCACATCTGGCCAATGGGAGGAGAGCAGGGTCCTGTGCAGTGGGCCGCGCATGCACTCACCCCGAGTCCTCCTCCTTGGGGCCCACGACCCCCACGCTGCATGTGGGCTCCACCTGCACCGTGACCTGCTGCAGGTCCTCTCCAGCGCGCGTCTCCTCCTGGGCCCTGGGGGCGACAGAGGCTGCCGTTTCCCTGCCTGCCGCCCTCTGCGCTCCGGGAGCAGCGGCCGAGCTCTGGGCTGGCCCCCGCCTCCCTCCTCGGAAGTTCCTGGCAGGAAGCTGGCACCTTCCCTAGGTGTGACCTCTGGGCATCACTAAGCCGAGCCGTGAGCTGGCCCGCCCTCCGCTGTCACGGTGAGTGGGGTGCCAGCCTCACGTCGGAGCCCGGTGTGCCTGCCCGTGTGCGCACAGATGTCTCTGGGCGGAGACAAACCTGTGTCCAGGGTGCCCCAGGGACAGGAACAGGTGCAAGCAGGGAGGCACCTGCCTATCTTAGCGCAGATACGCTGAGCAGCCAGTGGGCAGAGGCGGGAGGGAGGGGGGCGGGGAGGTCAGGCAGCAGGCAGGCTGGGGCGGGAGAGGAACATGGAGCTACTTGGGAGTCTGCAGCCAGCGCGAGAGCTCGGGGGTCAGAGGGGCTCTGGAGGGCGGCGGAGGGCAGGCGGGAGGCGCATCTCACCGGCCGTCCTGCGCGGAGGACTGTGTGCGCCGCCTGCAGAGACCACGCACAGGTGAAGGTGTCTGCCCGGCCCGTCCCCCGCCAGTTCGCCCACGAGCCCGACCTCCGGCACCCAGAGCGGGGGAAGACGGACTCGCTCACCTGTACCTGGGCTGCTCCGACGTCTCCGAGGGAGACCGCTCAGGGATGGAAAGGGACGTGGAGGACAGGGTGGTGGCAATGGAGGCGGTGGTGGCCTCCTCAAAAGAAGGCGGTGTGCAGGGCAGGAGGTCAGGTCGGCCTGTGGGCAGCAGAGGGGAAGGCGTCTGTGTTTGGCTCACCAGCACCCACAGAACACCCCTGCGCACCCCAACACTCAGCTCTCTCACAGCCTTACAGGGGCAAGGACACTCGGACTTCGAGGCATCGCGTCGCTTCCCGCAGCTTTCCAGTAAGCTCAGCCCCTTCAGGATCCTGCCTGACCTGCTCCCCCACCCCTGCTCTCACCTCAGCCCTCTACCCCAGCCACAGGGCCGCCTGCTGGCCCAACACAGCGGGACTCCCACCGGCTCTGTGCTCTTCCCCTCCCCACCCCTGGGACCTCTGACCCACTCGGTCAGGCCGGACCCAGCGAGTGCTTCATCCCAGCGGGTCTCTGTGCACCTGGGTGGAGGAAAGGGTTACCTCCCAGGTGGGGCCTCCTAGGCTCACTGGGGCTTTCCTTGGCGAGCGGGGGCTGTGACCCAAGGCCCACCCACCAGGGCTCCTGTGATGCATTTCTGCACCTGCTTTCTGCCCCCTCTTCTCTGCAGCCCCCTAATCTATCACAATTGCAGCCGCCCCCACCCAGCCTGGCCACGCCCAGTCACCTTCATCCTCCAGTGTGGGGTAACTGCGGGCTCCCCGGAGGTCGTACTGGGCGTCCTCCCGCTCACTGGGGATCTGGCTGGCTGAGAAGGCGGCTGTGGGCCCCAGGGGCTTGACGGCCAGCAAGGCACTGCGGCCCTTCTTGGATGGAGAGGACTTCAGGGCTGCGGCGGAGGAGGGCACTCGTGGCTGGGGCAGAAGCAGGCAGGCCAGAAGCTCGGCCAGCACAGGCCTTCCCGCACCTCGCGCCCAGACAGGCAGCAGCTCTCTGAGGACAAAGCCTGCTTCACCAGCGCTACTGCTGAGCAGCCCTGCCTGCCCATGCGGGGTGGGATGAGCCCCAGGGCAGGTCCCCTGAAACAGCAGCAGTGTCAGTCCTCACCAATGTCACTTGAGTGCTTGGCCCTGACTTCTTCATGTTCACAGCACGGTCACCCCCCAGACCCTACTTCCAGCAAGGAAGCAGAGGCCCGGGGCTTAGAGCTCAGGGCCTGAGCCTGGTCTGTGGCTGGGGGGGGGGGGGGGGCGAGGCTCGGCCTCTGCTGCGCCCTGGTGCCCTCAATGCTGACAACAGGTCAAGGGCGTGCGCAGGTCTTGTGAGGTGCTGGCCTCCCCACCCCCAGCTCCCGGTGACCCGGCATCCACACGAGCAGCATGGCTCCCGGCACTCCGTGGTGCCCATGTGCCCTGGGCACAGCCAGCCAAGTGCCAGAGGCCAACCTGGGGCGCAGCCCCGAGGCTGACCAGCTCCCATCGGGACCTGTGGCACACGACGCCTGGGGAGGAGGGTGTGCCCTGCGTCCAGACGGACCACTTGTGTGCCAGGCCCCAAGCGGGCCACTGGGGAAACGCAGCCACAGCTGATGAGCGCCCTTCCTGTCGGGCACGGTGGGGAGACGACAGACAAGGTGCCAGAGCACGCTCAGGCGGCATGCGGGCTGCTAGTGTCTCTCTGCAAGGCCCAGGGGACGTGGGGCTTCCTGGAGCTGCCGTGGAGACGGGCAGCGGCAGAGTGGGTCCGAGCCCAGGTGGCCCTCCTTCCCGCGATGCCCTGCAGCCTGGCTGCTGGCCCACGCTGATCCCCTCTGATCCACCCTTCTTTGGCGGGGTGCAGGTCGTCTCAGCGCGCCAGCGCTGGGTCAAGCCCACCTGTCTGCTGTGCAAATTCATCTTGCCCTCACAGCTTCGATCAAATGAGGAAACGAGTCACAGAGGAGGGGAGCACTGGCTCAAGGCCCACACTGAGAGGAGGTCAGGGCTCAAACCCGACTACGGGCATCAGGCCGCCCCCACACCCTGTGGCAGCTCCCCGAGCACCCCGCCATCTGGGCCAAGCCCCTGCTCAAGGCTCTCAAGGGACTCAAACGCCACCCTGCCCTGCCCACCGAGAGTCGCTGCCACCCCCAGGGCCCGGGCAACTCACAGGAGTTCTTCCGGAAGACCGTGTTGCTCATGAACTTGAAGAAGCGCTCGGCATAGAAGCTGGGCCGATGCACAGAGACGGTGTCCTGGGGAGGGAAGCGGGGACCGGTGAGGGGTGAGCCAGCAGGGGTCGGCACCCCATGACAGCCCGTGAGGCATAGCTGAGCCTGTGTGAGGGGCGCGGGGTTAAGAGCCCAGAAGCTTCTGGAAGGAAGTCACGTATCGGGAAATACGGCAGGGAAGCCACAGGTCGTCTCATGCAGGCCTTGCGCAGCGCACCAAACAAGGCTGTCGGCACACACACGGGCACCGAGGCGGCGCGCCGGCGCCTGGGCGAGCGAGTGAGGACACCAGCCGGCCTCCTCAGAGGCGCCTCGCCTTGGCGGGGAGGCGGCTCAGCTCCTGCGCCCAAGGGCTGTGGGCAGACTCCGGACCAGGAGGCGGCGGAGCTGGGGCAGCGGCCGCGGGGGGAGGCTGGCGGCACTGGTCCTCCCACCTGACCGCTCCGGGGGGCTCGTGCCGGGGTCTCACTTAGGTGGTCACTGGGCTCTCCCCTGGCCCTCCCCCAGCCCCATTTGGGAGCGGTCTCAGCCGGCCGCCAGGAGACCACACAGGGCCTCCGCGGCTCTCTCCTGCGCGCTGAGGCTGCCCCTGGGCGGCCCCGGCGCGTGCTGCAGGCGCGGGGGCACCGTGGGCCACCAGAGAGCTCTGGCACTAAGGCCCTGGGGGCAAGAGCCCGGCCAGGGCCGGCCCCTGCCGCGCTGGACACTGCGCCGGACGGCAGGAGGGCCGACTCGCCGCCAGCGGTCAGGTCCCAGGCTGCCGGCGCTGGAAACGAGCTGCTGCCCAAGCTCGTGCGTGGGCAGCGTGTGCTGGGCGCGAGCACATTCGCCTTCCTCAAACCACCGAGCAGTTCTGCTGCAGTCAGGTCACGACGTGAGGTGGTAACAGGAGTCAGAACCGCGGGGTGCTGTCCCTAAGTAGAGCAGGTACCGCAGGCCCGTCTGCACCGCAAGCTTCCTGAACGTTCCCTGACACTGTCCTTTCGGCCCAGCGTCCCTGCCCCCAAGTCCTCTGCCCCTCACCGCGGGCCCCACACTGCCTGTCGTCACGGCCCACCCCGTCTGCAACTGCCCGGTGAGGCCCCTCCCCGCTGCCGGCGCCACTCCTCAGCCCCTGAACCCGGCCAGAGTGGGCTGAGGACTGGCCGGCGGACGGGACGAGCGACACTCACCCCGTCGTGGACAAGAGCCTTCCAGGTGTGCTCCAGCTTCTTGATAAACCTGCAGGGAGAGAAAGAACACCCAACTGTCAGTCACGCCTTGGGGCCCACAGGTTCTTCCCTGGGTGACACCTGGGGACATCTTGTCACACTGTGGCACTTCCGGCATCGGATGTGTTGAAAACCGGCCTCGCGGGACAGAGGCCTTGCCCGCTGCCCCTGCAGCCGCCTCCCCGCCCAACCCGTCGGCGCTCCTGCCGCGGCTGCTCCGGGGCGTGAGGTCCAGTCCGGGCGCTCGGCCTCCAGAGCGCGGCGCAGGCGCCGAGCGCCCCCCACGGGCTGCCAGCCAGCCCCCACCGTGGATGGCTGCAGGAATGCCCCCTCCAGGCGGCCCCCAAGCTCCCCAAGCCTCTGTAGGAAGCCTGACGAGCCTCTGAAAATGGCCTCGTCCAGCAGAGGGAGAGCCCTACAAGAGGTCAGCTCCTAAGTGGACAAAGCATGGACCAAAGCCAACACTTGTATTTATAAATGGGACACACAGAGGCGCGGTGCCCAACTCCAGTGGGTAACAGGGTCAGCCAGCAGCGGCTGTGGGCTGGGCGTGGCGTCAGCTCCTCTCCCGCGACCCAGCCCATTCTCAAGGCCACACAGCACGTGGCACTGGCCCAGGTCATTCTGTGCTGTGGGCTGTAGCACTTCCCAGGCACCTGCTTCACGGTGTCCTTCTGTCTCGCTGTTAGCCGGCCCTTGGCATACAGGCCAAGGGCCCCAGCCGTCTCCCACAGCCCGCTGCAGCCCTTGGCCAAATCCTGAGCACTGAGAATGGAAGCACCAGGCTGGGGCGGGCCGGAGCCCAGAGCCTCCCGTCTCGGGCAGTGCCCACCTGTAGGACTGCAGGATGTCGATGATGCCGATGTGCAGCAGCAGGCGCTCCCCTCGGCCGTTCACGGCGGGGATGCCCCCCATCCTGGGGAGAGAGGGTGGAGAGTGGCAGTGCCGCCCACAGCGAGCGGGGCCCAGAGCGGCCTCACCGGGCTCAGGCTGGGAGCCGCCCAGAGTCGGAGCTGGGGTCCGAGACGGCGCCCGGCCAGCAGGCAGGGACGGAGCAGGTGGGAAGGGGCCTTGAAGGTGGGGAGCCCCCACCCGGGACACATCCTGGCGTGGGCCCCACTGCTCCTGTAGCTCAGCAGCAGAGCTGGAGGCTGGAAGCTGCGCAGGGACGCCGCCGCGAGACCAGGCACACGCGTGCACCACACCGACACGCGTGCACATGCAGCATGCACGCCGCAACACGCCTGCCCACACAGCGACCAGGCACACGCGTGCACGCGCAGGCGCACTCAGGAACACGGTCCGCACACGGCCCGCACACGGGCCCAGGGGCACACACATGCACGCACACCCTGGCAGGTCCCTGAGGCCCTAGGGTGCAGTCGAGTCAGTCGCCGCACCCGCCTTGAGCCAGGGGTTAGTGAGGCCACACGACGCAGCAGCTGCCCGGGCCCACTCACTGCGTGCCACGCGTCGCCACGCTCACCTGCGCACCCTGGCGGGCCCCGCAGACCCTACAAATGCCAACATGGTCTGAGGATGGAGCCCGCGCGGAGGGGCTTGGCACTCACCTACCCCGCAGCACCCCCCAGTCCTCTGCAGCGGGTGGCCCGGAGTGGCAGCAGGGCAGGGTCAGTCTTGGCACCCTCCCCGGTCAGCATGTGTGCCAGGGTGGCGGCCCCCACCGCTGAGTCTGGTCCTCAGCAGAACAAGGGGACGGGCCGGGCCGCCCTCCGCCAGGACCCCATGAGGACGCACTGGGGCAGTGGTGTGAAGGCTGTAGCCAGTCCCGGCACGATCAGGGCATCGTCTAAGTGAGGGGTTCCCACCCTGGCAAGTCCTTCCCCTGGCCCGTGGCCACCCAGGGACGCTGGGGTTGTCATGACCGCGGACACCACCCCACAGCCAGCGAGGCAGCTGAACGCCCTGCCGGGGCCCCAGAGCGACCCACCTTGCACGTCACAGGCTGTGGGGTGGACTACAGGGTCTGCCCCAGCCAAACAGCCCCGAGCCCAGGGCAGGCCCAGGCCACTGAGGCCAGAGGATGCCTCCGCCGAGCCGTGAGCCCGACACCTGCGGCAGCGGCGTTGTTTCTGGGGGAGCAGATTCCTGGTGCCCCGGTGCTGCGGGGGCCAGCTTTCCCACCGTGCCTCCCCCCCTCCCTCTACCGTCTCCTGGTCACTGGTCAACAGCTTCGGCTGTGCCCCAGAACCCGTCCTGGCGCAGGCGGGAAGGAAGGAGCCGTCCATGTCTTCACCTCTGACAGCCGAGGCTCAGCCCGGCCGGCACGGGGGCCGTTCCCAGGCGCCACCTCTAACTCCCACAGGGCCCCGCAGGCAGGTGGGCGATGCTGCTGCTCAGATGCGCCGGAGGAGACAGGCGGGCGCTCGCCTTCCTCCCAGCCCACCCCCTGGCGTGGGGGTGGACAGAGAAGCCCAGAGCGGCAGAGTGGATCTTAGCCCCGCCAGCCCGGCCGGCCGCAGCACCTACGTGTCGTCCGTCTCGATGGCCTCCCCTCGGGCGGCGCCGCCCTGGATGGACTCCATGGCCGTGGAGTAGAGCGCCTTCTGGCCCAGGGGCCGCTTCTCGTCCGAGGTGCTCTGGGCGCCCTCGGCCTGCCGCTCCCGCTCCTGCTGGTCCATGTTGTGCACGCCCAGCAGCAGGCTGTAGTCCATGATCTTGAAGCTCTCCAGCACCTGGAGGTGGGGGCGGTCATATCCTCACCGCCCACCCCAGCCCTGAACCCCGGCCCAAGCCCAGGGTGCCCAGCTCGTGCGCTGGGTCTGTGTCGTGCAGTTCCCACAGCCAGATGGGTGGCCAGACAGCACCCCATTTCAGACCAGGAGACAGAGAGGTCAAGGCAAGTGGGGGCAGAGCAGGGACTGGAATGGGGGGATGCTGGGAGGTGGTGTCTGACCCTGAGGCCAGGTCACCCCTCAGTCAAGGACAGCTTTCTTTCTCCTGGTATGAGTGGATGACCAATGGGCCTGGCCACTTGGTCCTAGAACCTGGAAGTCACAGGGCCCTGAGCTGTCTGAACAGATTTCCGGGGACTTCATGTGACGCTTGCAAAGGGGCTGGGGGCTGGGGACAGTGGCTGAAGGGGGCTGGGGAACTAGGGCCAAGGACCCACACCCCGCCCCGGAAGACTGGGGCCTCGGGCAGGGAGGCCCCCATCAAGCCTCCAGACGGGCAGGCGGACGGAGCGGCCAGGCGGCCAGGAGTGGGGAGGGGTAAGCTGAGCTCACAGCCTCTCGGGCGGGCCCTCAGGGGCGCCGCTGACCGGAGGAGGGCGGCACCGGGCGCGCCATGAGTCTGAGGGAGCCACGGCCAGGCAGCTTCTGGGGGCTCGACTCCGAGGAGGGGGACGCCTGCCCCCGGGCACCGACGGCGGGCTGAGGAGGGCTGGGGCTGCCCGTCCTCAGTGTGGGGGGGGCGGGGGCGCAGCCGCGGGGGCCTCACCAGGCAGTCGCGCTGCAGCGTCTTGACGAGCGCGGAGAAGGTGTCGGCGTCGAGCAGGAGCCCCTCGGGCATGTCCTGGATGAAGTCCAGGTCCTTGTAGGTGGGGATGCTCTTCTCCTTCTCCTTCTTGCTGGCCCGCCGCTTGTACGTGGAGCCCTTGAGGTCAAACTTGAGGTGCATCTTGACCACGCGCGGCAGGATGTTGTTCATCACCACCACGCGGATGTTCTTGCCCCCGGACTGCACGCAGTACAGCCCGTAGAATTTGGGCAGCAGTGTCCGCGGGTTCTGGTTGAGGTTCTGGGGGAAAGTGTGTGAGAAAGAGGGTCAGCGGGGAGCAGTCAGGGCTACTTCCGAAGCTCAGGGCTTGCACAGGACCGGCTGGGCTGCAGGGAGCCAGGGCGGGCAGATGGCCCCTGCTTGCCCCCAGGTGTCCTGCCACGGCCACCTCACAGAGCCTGGACTGACCCCCCGGCCCACCTTCACTCTGCGCCCCACAGCTCCCTGACTGTACACGGGTCACCCTGCCTGTTTAACTCTTCCTCCCCGCCTTCCTGTGGAAGCGCCAGGCCAGCCAGAGGTGCCATGTGCAGGCAGTGCCCATGGGATGCTCCCAAGGAGTCTGGGCCCGGCTCTGAGCCAAGTCAGACCCGAGCCCCCCACTTCCTGGCCAACCCTGGGCAGGGCTGGCAGACAGCTGCTAGGTCTCATGCTTCCGTGAGCTAGGAACAAGAAAAAGTGTCTGTGACACACAAGAACTACAGGAGACGCACGTCTCAAGGTCCATAAACAAAGCGTTACTGGCACGAGGCGGTGCCTGCCGCCCACGCTCTGTGGCGCTTGCCCGCCTGCGTGGTGGAGGCCGCCGGCAGCAAGCCTGCCGCCCCGCTTCCGTCACGGCAGCCAGGGGTCTCGCCTAAGATCAGACGTGGCAGACAGAGATGCCCGAAGGGCAGAGGAGCTGACCAGTCTCCATACCCGCCAGCACTGGGCAGGGCCCCGGCCTGTGCGTGGCTCAGGACCCGTGAGCTGGGGGCCGCAAACCCGAGCCTCCACCTCACCCGGGTCCTGACGTGTCCTCTGGGTCGTGAGTGACACGGGAGAGGGAGGCAGGTCTGCTGCCAGTGCCCGCGAGGTGCCAGCTGGCGCCCAGCCTCCCCCGCCACATCTGAGTCACTGGCTGCCAAGACACTTGGCCCACAGCCACAGCTTGTGGGGCTCACGACTCAGGGACTGGGGAGTGGGGTGGGGGGCAAGCAGGGCCCCATGTGCACCCTCACTTTGCCTGGGGATGGCAAGCAGAGCCCAAATGGGGGAACTGCCAGGGAGCACCCAGGGGGAGGGTTCAGATGCCCACAAAGGCTTCCCGCGGCTGCCTGGGTGGTGGCTGAGCCTAGGGGCTCTGGGGACCCGCCCGCCAGCCATGGAGCCACGTGCAGAGAGGTAAGAGCAGAAGGCAGCACGTGCCAGGCAGTAGAGGGGTTTTGAGGCTTGGGGGGGAAGCAGATAGGTGTTTAAGGAAGCCCAGAAGCCAGCCCAGCCCCCAGAACCTTCCAGAAAGCCTGTGCTCCCTACCATGTAGTAGCCCGGGAGCAGCTTCTGTAGGAACTCAGCCTCCTTGTGCATCACAGTCTTGATGATGAACTCGTCGTCGCTGGTGACGTAGAAGAGAGAACCGCTGGCTCCGGGGTTGGACAGCTCAATCAGGGGTTCATTGCACAGTGAGTACTGAAAGGGGGGTGGGGAGTGAGCAGGCAGTGGCAGTCACAGCCCCCCACATACACACGCCCAAAGCTAGAGGGCAAGCCCAGGATCACAGAGCAGGCCCCAAGGAGGCCTGGGCCTGCACAGGCCCCTTGGCCAGAGCTGCCGGCAGCCTCCCAGCGAGGTGCGCCACGCATGCTGCCACGCCTCTGAGCAACGCGGGCACCGGGGGCAGTGTGTCCTCAGGCCCTGTGCCAACAGCACGCGGTACAAATGTCAGCGAAGAGAGAGGCCCCCCAAATCACTTAGGGGCCTGGAACAGCTCACATCAACACTTCGGCCACTGCCATGGAACAATGGGGAAACTGAGTCGGGTGTTCAGGCCACGGTCCCCACGCCCCTTCATCAGCCCACACCCCGTTCTAGGCACTGGGAAGACGGCAACAAACTAAGCAGGCTGCACCCCTGGCTCCTGGTGCCAGAGGCTAGTTGGAGCCAGAAAGACAAAGCACAACACATAATGGGTTAGCAGGAGAGCGGACAAAAGTATCGCGCAGAGTCAAAGGCAGGGAGTGAAGGTGGCTACGTGGCCACGTGGCCAGGTGGCCAGGTGCAAGGGCCCTGAGGCAGGTGTCGGGGGCAGGGGGAGGCGTGGCTGGGGCAATACGTGTGGCAGTGCAGCTGCAGGGCCCTCGCTCAGGAGAGGCAGCTGGGTCACCTCGCAGCGGGAGCACGGGGCAGGCCGAGGAGACTGGGTTGCATGTTCAAGGCGCGAGACGCCGCTCAGAGGCTCAGACAGGGAGTGACGGGGCGTGATCTGGGTCTCGTGGGCTCTGCAGTGCCGGGGCTGGCAGGCGGCTGGCGGCCCCCAGGTGAGCAGTGGTGGGCTGCTCCTGGGCAGTGGCAGAAGGGCGGGCTCCAGAGCCTCCTACTGGGCGGAGCCGAGACCCGCCGCAGGGAGCCTGGGGAGGCGCCGTTGAGGGGGGCTGCGGGCTGGGCTGCGCCTCCAGCCGCACCGTCACCAGCCTGGCCATCTGCTCGGCTCCGCTCCGCCCCGCCCACAGCCATGAGCCACAAATACCCACGAAACAGGCCCACGCTAGGCAGCGCTGTCCTCTCCCCACCATGCAGACGGCTCTGGGAGTCAGAAGCGCACGGTCGGGGCTGGTGTCACAGGCCGCAGCAGCAGCCCCTGCCCAGGCCTCAGCCCCCGCGGTTGCCTTGAGTAGGGAGAGCACAACCCACCCGTCGTCCTCCTACTGGCATTTAAATAAGAAGAGAAGTTACAGAACCAAATAACAAACTGGCTTCCCTGGGAAGCAGCTTGAGGGGAATCGGGACTTGGGTGGGGCGGGATGGGCAGTGAGACGCACTAAGTTCTGCCCACGAGCCGGCTCATAGGCGCATGCCCCCCGGCACACCCCATTCACACTGGGGTCCAAGGCAGCCCCCGCACGCTAAGTGCGCTGCCCAGACTTGCTTTCCCATCTCAAGCCCCGCCGCCCTGAGCTGGCCAGCTGACACCCGAGGCCGCACTACCGGCACCGGAGGGTTTTTACTGTTTACGGAGAGGGAAACCGAGACATGGAGAGGTGAGGACACTGGTTACGGCCGGTGGCTGAGACACAAGCTACACCCGCGTCTGGAGGGACAGACAGGCGCTGCATCAGGGCTGGGCGCCGGGCTGCAGGGCGCGGCCGGAGGGCAGGGCGGCGGCGTGCCCTTGGGCTCTGGAGCGAGCGGGCTTTGCTTCCGCGGTTCTGGGAGTTCTAGCACCAGGGCTGCCGGGCACCACTCCCCTCCCTCCACATGACACCCCATTTTCTTGGCACATCCAGGGCTTACCCTCCACAGCTGACCTCCAAATGGGCCCCACTACCAACCCTCCCCCACCCTGGGACACAGCCACGGCTCTGGCTCCCGGCCCTACCCCAGAACCTTCCCACAGTGTCAGTTCACCCAAGCAGTAGCCTCCATGGCCCCCAGGATGAGATCGCCGATCTCGGAGGCGGCCACCACGGGTGTGCCCAGGGCCCAGGCTGAGCCGCCACGCCAGCCCGCCCTCTGCTGCTGCCACTCAGCTCACTCCTGAGGCCGGTCCCTACAGTGCTGGCCGGTGGGAACCCGGGGAGAGCCGGCCTGCTCCAGGGTGGGCAGAGGACCGAAGTTGGAGGTCAGCAAGGCAGGGCCGGCTATCCAAACCTTGAGGTCACCCCAGGTCACAACTGATGTGCCTGAACTTGCTTTTGTCATGTTCCAGCCAAGACCTGGCATCTCCACGGCTCCATGCTGGTGCCAGTGTCACTGGTTCATCCTCTGCTAGAGGACAGGGAGGCCTTTTTTATGCTGTTATAAATAACAGCTCCCGACTAGCACCTGGGAATGCCAGGGTCGTCTCTCCGCAAGAACCATGGAACTGGCACACACCTGTCCTAAGGAACTGTCCCCACACAGCGGGCAGGGAGAAAGGCTGCCAGGCTCGGAGGCCAGGGCCCAGTCTGGTCTTGGCCACCCTGACCCCAGAATCCAGTGATGCTGAGAACTGGGACTCACACACACCCCTGGCCAAAGCAGAAGCTGCTTCTCTCTAAAGGGCGTGGCTAGCAGGGCACAGGGGTCCTCCCGACACGCAGCGGACGTGCTCTCGTGGGCAGGAGCCAGGAGACCCCAGGGCGCCCTCAGGACGCCGCCGGCAGGAAGCTCAAAGGGGCAAGGCCCCCGCTTGCGCCTGCGGCTCCCTGCCAGCCGCACACCATGAGCAAAGAACCTGGCTGAGGTCGGCCCAGCTCCGGCCCGGAGCCGCTGGCCCGGCACCCACGGCACAGCGCCTGCGGCTCAGTCTGCGGGACGGGGGCCTGGCACGGCCAGCGCGCTCACCAGGTAGTCGTCCGGCCGGATGCCGAAGAGCTCCCGGAAGTAGCGGAAGGCGACAGGCGCGTAGGTCTTGAACCTGAAGTCCTGGAAGTGGTGGGCAGGGGTGAGGTTGCTGCCTTCACTGTGGAGGAAGAACCAGGACACCTGTGAGGGTGGCGACTCTGGCATCCACCTCATTTCCGGGACCCTCACAGGCCCAGCCTTCCCAGGCCGAGGGCGGTGCTTCTTGCTGCCAAGCTGCAAGTCCTCCTCAAAGCGGCAGGTCAGAAAAGCAACGTCTACCCCGTCACGACCCTCCTCTCCTTCACTAGCAGCAGACACCACACTGCCACACCAGTGCCCCAGCCCACCTGCAGCTGGGGAGGCCACACGGCCACACGCTGAGTAGAGCAAAGCCGACTGCATTATCCCAGTCCTTCAAGGGAAGGAGCCAGGGCTCTCCTCTTCCTCCCCCGCCTCCCTCCATTGGGACGAGATGCAAGAGAGAGGCCCGGCAGTCCCGGGGGCTGCATCACGCACGACGAGCACTGGGAGGCTGGCCGGCTGCTGGCCGGCTGCTGGCCCCACAGGGCTGCCCAGTAGTACTCGACGGTCTTCCTCTCACCCCTGACCGACACCCGCTGGCCCTGAAAGCCAGAGACCCCTGCCAAGGTCTGTGCTGTCTTCAGCAGAGAAGGCAGATGGGAGAATAGGCCCCACCGGGGCCCCCCGCTGCGGGAGGAGCCGAGGACACACCTGGGGAAGAAGATGCTCTCCACCACGTAGAAGTCCTGCATGAGCACGTCGCGCTCTGGCTTGGAGCTCAGGTTGCCCACAGTGTAGCCAATGCCCAGCTGGATGGCGCCCTTCAGGGTGGAGGAGGTGGTCTGCGGGAAGAGCCCACGCGTCAGGGCCCTGGGCCACCCCCACTCCTGGCCCCTCAGCGTGAGAGCGAGGAGGAGAAACATCTTGGGTCAGGGAGGGCAAGGGCGGGTGTCCAGCCAGAGCTGTGTGGCCTTGGGGCACCTGGTGGGCTCCTGTCACAGCCCGCTGGCCTCAGCTCCCCGAGACAGCCTTGCGGCTGAGACGCCACCCTACGCAGACAGACCCAAGTCCTGCTTCTACAAGAACTCTGAAGGTGCCAACTTCACAAAACGGTCTCTACTCAGGGCCTGCTCACTGTCAGGGTTTTCTTTGCGGGGAGCACAATTTATTGAATGACACCCCATTTCTTTTTTTTTTTGGAGACCTGGAATCCTTCCAACCACTCCCTACGTGATTCACACAGGCACGCCGGGCATTGGCGTGGCCTGACCGTGCTCACTGCGCTCGACACCCTCGAGCAGCCTCCACCGGGCACACAGGGCAGTAAGCCCAGCAGGGACTGACCACCTTCGGCCAGCAGGAAAACGCAAACCAGGCCAGAGAGACAGTCCCCCACGAGGTGGGACGCACACACACGGGCGGACGCCGCGAGTGTTTTGAGGACCGTGACGATGAGGAAGAGCTGGAGCCTTCATGCATGGCTGGGGTGGGGGGGATGGGGTAGCCCCTGTGCAAAGACTGGCGGGCTCCCAAAAGTTAAATGTGGTGTTTCCACCTGACCCAGCACTCCACACCTTCCCACCTCCCCAAAGACAGAAAGGCGCATTCTGTACAAACACTTGCACACAAGTGGCCCCGAGCCATGCCTCTCAGCAGCCACCTCAGTGTCCAGCCAGGGAACAGACAGGCCCCTGTGTTCACCCACAGGGGGCGACACAGGTCAGTCACCAGAAGGGGGCAGCTCTGACACCTGCTAGCACAGGGAGGGAAGCCGGACACAGTGTGCCCACCGGCGTGAGAGGTCCAGAACAGGCACGCTCAGAAACAGAAAGTGGAAGGTTTGTGGGCGCCAGAAACTGGGGGAGGGAGGCTGATGTAGACAAGGCTTCCTCTAGGGGTGATGGAATGTTCCAGGGCTGACTGCAGTGACAGTTGCTCGACCCTGTGAAGACACCCAACTGCAGACTGCTAAGGCTGACCACGTGTGCGCTCCGCAGCAAAGCTGCTACAGAAGGAGGCGCAGCTGAGGCGGATGAGACCGAGGGCTCCGGGCTCTGCTCCCCCGCCCTCGTCGCTCTCCCGGCCTCAGAACTTCTATCAGTGCCTCATCTCAGCCGCATTTTCCAAGGGAAGGGGTGGGGCTGCATGTGCTCTCTCCCGAGAGGCGGCGGCACTGGGGGCTGTGCGTCACAGGAGGTCAAGGCTGGCCTGGGAACACGCCGCCCGCTCACCCACCCCTGCGGTGATGGCACGAGGGAGGACCTCCCCGGCCAAGGGGCTTGCACCACGAGGCCACAGAGACAGCACCGATACCCTTCGTACAAATGACCAGGGTCCCTGCCCCGGGGGACCCTGTCTGTGTCGGGAGCAGATGACCCCTCCCATGTCAGCCAAAGGCAAGAACCTTCTTGTAGGTGGTTTCACCAGAAGCATCCACGCCCCGATGGCCCAGCTTCTTCCCATGGGCAGGGCCCAGCTGCCCGCTCATCAAGGGGACCTGCAGAAGAGGAAGCAGAAGTGTTAAAATCAGCAAGAAAGCACCGCTGCCTGGGTCAAAATGTCCTGGAATCCTGGCACGAGGGGGCTCAGTCACCATGCCCAGCTGGTGCCCTGGCTGGCCCGGGGCGGGTGTGGACGGGCTCTGCGGCGGAAAGGGCGGCCCATACCCCAGGGCCAACGCCCAGCTCCATGCCAAGACAGCAGGGAGATGGCGGCCCCACCCGCTCGCTGGTGTGCACTGAGAGGCCAGCTGCAGTCTCCCCTGGGCACCGCTAAGACGGGGCCTGGCCAGGGGGGGTGCTTCCTGGGCACTGCGGGATGTTCAGCAGCCTCCGCCAGCCCCTACCCACTCAATGGGGACAGCTATGACAGGTAAGACCACCCCAGGAAACAACTGTGGAAGCCACCAGACTCTGCAACTTTTCAGGGGAGAATGGGGACAGGGACCAGGGAGTTTGGAGAAACATGACGCCAGCCCAGGCTGGGGTCCAGCAGACAGGAGCTGGGTGCCCCTCGGTGGCTCCACCATCACTGAGGTTTAAGAAGTGCCCACTGTGTGTATCTGACATCATGTGAAGACCCCCCAGTCCTTTCTGCCCTATCTGCACTGACTCCCAGAACGCCCCCCACCCCCAACCATAGCGCCTCAGCCAGGCTCCCGTGTTATGAACGCTGGCCACCAGGGGGCGGCCTCTCCTTAGGAAGTGCTGCCTGGGTCTCCACCTCCCTCGCTGGCTCCCCACTGCCTGGCCTGGGCCTTCAAGGGCCCGGGTAGGTGGATAAAGTCCTCAGGAGGAGCCCATGTGGCAGGTGGCATTTGGGGCGAGACCAGGCTTCAGGGGGCCAAGGGCCAGGGGACTGTTCCGGTAATGTGGGCGCAGCAAACACACCTGGCTGCTGCCACCCTCGGTGCCTCCTGGGAGGCAGGCCGCTCTCAAGAGTGAAGGGACACTCTGAGCAGGACAGCGCTTGTCCCACCTGCACCGCCTGACTAGGACAGTCAGCCTGTGCTCAAGGGCGGCCAGTCATCACCGCCAGGAGCTCTTGGGGAAAGGCTGGAGATGGTGAAGGCAGCTGGTGGGGTGGAGAAGAGCAGAGACCGGCACCGGTGTGTGGGGCCGGGGGAAGGGGCACTATACACCTTGGGAGACAGCCCCCGCCTCAGGACGCTGCCCTCATGGGGGTCCCACTGGGCTGCCTCCCTCGCTGCTCCCTCATTACCCAGAGTTGGATCCTGAGCCTCTTCGTGCCCCAACCCCTCACCCTCCCACAAACCTAGGACTATGACTGGACACTTTTTAACCAGTATTTGGGGTTCAGAGAGGGCAGTAAGTTACCCAAGGCCACACAGCAGGGCAAAGGCTGGGCCAGGTGCAATCCAGACTCTCCCTCAGCCCCTTCTAGGAGGAGGAGGTCAGTGGGGGCCCACAAGACACTCACCTCAGTGGGGGCCGTCTTCTTCTGGGCTAAACCTGAGGGAGAGATTACAGACTCAGACTGGGACGCCAGGCGGCCCCCCGCCTCGCCGAGGCGCCTGCCACCTGTGCCGGGGCTCCCCAGGTGGCAGGGCTCTGTCCCCCTCACTTGCGGGGAGCTCTCTGGGCGGGGCACAATGACCCTGCATGGGAAACAGCGGTCACACAGACAGGACAGGGATGACAGGAAAACTGGACACTGGTCCCCTGAGCCTGGACCTCCCCCACAGGCAAGAGCACTGGGGAGCAATCACCCCAACTGTGACCCACCCTCTACCCCAGACTTCCAGAGAAGCTGAACTGCCACAGAGCTGTCCACCCTGCGGCGGGAGCCGGCCCCACCGGGAGACTTGGCCCCGGGAACCGAGCGCACTAGTTGGAGGGGTAAGGAGGACGAGGCCCTCTGGGGAGGGCAGGCTGGTGTGGGGGGGGCACTAGGGCCCGGGCTCTGGCTGTGGGGAGGGCTGGATGGGGCGGGGCAGCAGCCCTGACAGTTCTCCGCGGTGAGCTGCAAAGCTAGCCGCCAAGGACACTCCTGGCCCCTCGTACCACACCCAGGGCCAGGGCATTGCTCCAGGGGAGACGCCGAGGGGGGCGGGCGACGCTCCTGGGGACCCCCCCTCCACTGGCCTCTGAGTCCGGCCATACCTGGAGCCGGCATCCATGTGCGGCATCGCTCAGCGAGTGGCCAGCAGACGTGCAGCCCCACAGCTGCAGCCCGGCCCCAGAACACGAGGACCTGTCACCGCAATGGCAAAGGCGATGATGCTGAGGCACCGACACGGGGGGGGGGGGGGGGGGGGGGGGGGGGGCGCCGGGAAGCCTGGCCCGGCGGCCCTCACGAGAGTCCTCATGGGGAGCAGGTGGGGCCGAGGCATGGCCTGGGCCAGCGCTTCTAGAGGCTGGCGCAGGGGGGCCGGCCCCGGGCCGGGGAGGAGCGCCGGCCCCACCTGTCGGCCAGCCTGCCACACCCACAAAACAAGTGTCCACTCCTGACTCCTAGAAAGGGAGATGATGCAGGCATGCGGCTTGGGGGCAGGTGGCAGGGACCTGATACAGCAACAGGAAACGCATACAGGGGTGTCTACTCCGCATCAGCCTTGGGGGGAGGGAGACGAGTGGTGACCAGGACAAACTTGCCCCTGGCCCACCGCGATGCTCACGAGGAGTGGCAGGGGAAGAGTGGACGAGACAGTGTGCGGGGCCACGGCACAGTCTGAGGTTACAGGTGGGGGTTAGATCAGCCAAGAGACTTAACACTGACCCCAGGGAAGTGGGAGCACTGGAGGGCAGGGGCGGGGGGGGGGTGGCTTGATCAGGCCCTCTCAGGTGCCTTCTGGTGGGTGCTGTGGGGAGGACAGGAGGGTGGGGCTGGGGAGAAGAAAGATGGAGAGGATTGGGCTTGGCCGGGCTGGGGACCATGGGGTGGACCTGGCAGAGACAGGAGGGGCAGGTTCTGGAAAGCTCTGAAGACAAGCAGACCATGCCCCTGGAGGTGAGAATGACCAAGAGCTCTGACGTAGGGATCAGGGAAGGGCTGAGCTGGCTCGGCAGAGATGGGGGTGGGGGAAGCAAAGTTAGAGGATGGGGAGGCGCAGTGTGGGGAGATGAGTGAGAGACCCTGAGGGACAGCTGGGTCTGCTCCGGACCTCGGGGTGCTGCCGATAAGACTGGGCACCATGGGGGCTCAGGTGAGAGCAGGGTGGGGGCAAGGATCAGGCTCTAGTATCTAAAGTCTCAGGGGACGCCCAGGTGAGGGTCAGTCTCTCAGGCCAGGGGCCGCGGGACAGGGAGGCTGACTGCCAGTAGGAACAGGATCCCTCCCATGACAGATGAACTGTATCTCAATTAAAGACACACCCCCAAGCTGCCGAGGCTCCAGCGGGCCCTCTGCCAGCCCTGAGCACCAACTGTGCAGATGGGGAAACTGAGGCCAGAGGGGTGCTCCAGGGCTCACTAAAGGGACATCCCTTCAGGACCGTCTGAGGGGGGCACTTGCCTAGCCGTCGGCGGCTGAAGGAGACACCCAGCCACATGAGGGCGACACCAGCCCCCATGGGGGTTCCCAGCCCGGGCATCTGGCCTCAGGGACCAACCTGTGCTCTAGTCCACCCCAAGCCCAGCCGGCTGCAAGCAGATGGCGGAAAAGGGCTGGAAAGTGACACAATATTTTCTTTGGCCACCCCACAGGAGAACAATTCATGAGCTTGCATCTGGGGTGTGGGGGAAGGAAGAAGAAAGAGACAGGAAGTCACAGTGGACCAGGGCAGAACATTCTGAAGCTCACTGGGCGCCGGGTCGTCCGAGCGGCCCCTTTTGGCCTCCCAGAGGCCCTGGCCTGGCGCCTCCACTCCATCCTGGGGTTTCCTGCTTCAGCAGCCCTGACACTGCCCACCCTGCTGCGGGGGCCAGGACACCCCAACACCCGTGTCCCTATGGAGTCCTGGCTGGCTCCCCGCCCTCGCTCCCCAGCACACGTCGGGAGGGGCCAGAAGATTACGGGCTCCCCTGCCCTGGGGGCACAGCAAGGGTGGCAGGGCAGGGTGGGAGGAGCGGGCGACTCCTGCCTCTGCCTGGAAGCCCTCCCCTCAGCTCCCCAAGACAGCACCCGCGTGTCAGGCTACCCAGCACCTCCTCACGGGACCACCGTGGTCACCTCCTTTCTTGCGGCTTTCCGTGCCACCCCGATCCTCCTGCCCACAGGCCTGCACTTGCAGGACCTTGCACTTCTGCCCCACCTAAGAGTGGTGCCCACCAGGGCGGCCGCCTGTTGCTCTCCGAAGTCACAGCCCGGGTCTTCAGGTCCTCATCAGGCTGTTTCCGGAGCAGGCAGCCGCCAGGCCAACCTGCAGGGCTAGCGGGCAACTTCCTGCGCAGCCCCCTCCCCCCAGCGGCACCTGCAGGCCTAAGATGGCAGAGATGTCACCAAGATCCAAGTTCCTCCCAGCCCAGGAAGTGACCAATTATCTTCTGAATGAGCCACCAGGGTTTCAAGGAAATTAAATTTCAAAAATAGCCTGGGGAGGGGGAAGTGTCACCTGACAGAAAGGTGAAAGCAGGGAGGGCAGGCCTGTGCGCCCCCGGGGAAAGGATGAACCTGGGGAGCACAGCTGAGCCACAGGCCGGGCTCCCCTTGGAGACCCCTACAGCTGTCTGCGGGCTGGCTGAGGACACCCATGGGGTGGGGACAGACACCCATCCTCTCCCGCACCCATTTACATCCCCAGTGCTTCCAAATATCTGGCAGCAGGTGGGGAAAGCTCCCGATGCCTCAGGGCTCGGGAAGGGCCTGAACATCTGCCCTGCCCCAGAATCACCGGGTTCCACTGATCCAGAACCCACCACTGCCCTCTGCCCCGCCCCACCCCCATCACTGTCCTCTGTCCATCCTGACCCTGGCGGGTCTGTCCTTAGAGCTACAGTCACCAGATGGCGCCTGCGAGTCACCGTCCTCGTCGTGGGAGTCAGGCCCTGCCCTCCTCTCCCCTAACTCTCCAGGAGGGCTCCCACTTCCTCCTAGGCAAGTGCTTGTCTTTCCTCAGGGTCCAAGATCCTGCACTCCTCTACCCCTCCCTGCAGCTCCCTGCCTCTGCCCCTTCCCCTCCCTCCTCATCCTGCTCCCTCACCCTGGCTATGCCCCCAGCAAATCAGTCACAGCCCTGCCCCAGGGCCTTTGCATGGGCTTTTCCCCCACTGAACACCCTTCCCAAGAAACAAAACCCTTGCATACATCTGCTGCCTGTTTCATCCAAACCTGGCTCAAGTGTCTCCCTCAGAGAGGTCCCCCTCCAACCACCTCTGCCACCACAGCCCACTGAGACTACTCATTCTGCTCCCTGCCTGGCTTTCACGTCATCACAGCACTGCACCAGCTGGCACTCATGGGTGGTGCCCCCTGCCGGCAACAGCCGCTGCTGGGGCACCGACTGACGGGCACTGCACCGCTCTCTTAATGGAGAGAAGAGGGTCACCATGGGAGGGACGGTCGTGGGTCGCAAGGCCCATCAGATCAGCGTTGGGTTACTGTCCAGAGCACCGGCTGCCTGGTGCCCAGGACAGCGCTTGGCTCCGTGGGACGCAGAATAAATGAGAGCACACAGGACGTCGTGAGGGCCAGCACCCCGCGACCAGGAAGCACTTACCTCCCTATCATCTATGTCATCAATGTCCTTTGGGTCTCCTGATGCACAGGCTAGTGACTGCAGATTGGCAGGAGGCTGGGCACCCCACAGGCATGACTTGGGGCCTGGGTCCCCCTTGAGGGGCAGAAGCAAGCCTTGGCCCCAGTCAAGCCTGACCACGAGGACCAGGGTGGATGGGGTGCCCCTCCCGGACCCTTGGCTGTCCCCTTGCTGAACTGTAAAGGCCGGTTGCTGACCAGAGAAGCTCTGGCTCGTGGTCGCCACATGCCCTAAGCAACAAAGTGTGACACAAAGGGAGGGTGGCACGGAGGGCTGGCAGTTTCCACTCTGGCAGCCCGGCCCTGCTTAGGTCCCTGCAGGGTCCCGGCTGGAAAGCGCACCCTGGGGGCAGGCAGCCTGCAGCAGGGCACAGAAGTCACCAGGGAGCGGGTGCCTCCTCCTGCCCACGCACCTGGTCAGCCCGGGTGAGGCCCAAGGAACCGCTCAGCCAAACCAAACCAGGTAAGAGAATCACAAGCCTACCCCGGGGTGCCAGAAGCACCTGCTTTGTGACACCCAGACGTCACCCGCAGACCTGGGGCCTGAGACCCCTACATGTCCTCTGAACCAGATGCTCCTACGGTAGCAACAGCAAAGGTCTGAGCCCTGGGGCGCCGGGCTGTGCAAGTCCTTCCCCTCGGCCTCCCTGCTGCATTGCGCAGCCAGGACCAGAGCGCAGGGGGAGCTCGAGATGCTGCTGAGAACCTTCTCGCCCCACGCCCGCCCATCTTAACCTCCACCCCAACCACCCACGTGAAAGGGGAGCTGCGCCCCCAGTCTGGGCAGGGCCCTGGGGCTGACAGGCTGCGACAGTCACCTGACAGAGCCCAGAGGAGGGACAGGACAGAGGCGTGAGCTCAGCGACCCCCTCGCCCCTCCACAAGCTCCAGGCTCCGGCCCCGGTTATGCCACCCCCAGTGTGCCCTGGTGACCTTTCTCCTAGCACTGGAATATTGGTAGTAAGTCAAGTCAATTTTTAACAACACAGTGTTTTGGAGAAAAACCTGCTTTTCTCCAAAAACGAGCAGACTTAGAAGCTGAAGGCCCAGATGCCCACTCACCCCGCAGCCGCCCACCGGGGCCGCAGTCCCCACCCCACATGGCCAGAGGGTGCCTCCGAGCACCTGAGCTGGAGGCCGAGAACCAACTACCTCAACGCTCATCTCATAATCTAACAGGAGGGGAACAGCGGCTAGGAGAAAGTAGGAAGTCATCCAGAGTCAAAGGTGAAAGACCCCATGATCACATCTCAGAGTGGAGAAAAGCAGTCAAAAAATCCAACAAGAATTTCAACTCCAAAAAAATCTTTCAAGAAACTAGGTAAAGAGGAGGGGGAAGGGGAGGGAGAGCCCACCGCCACTGGCACGGAGGAGGGGGAAGGGGAGGGTGAGCCCACCGCCAC